ACACATAACAGAAATTTTTCTCACAAAAATTGTCGTGTGATTGCCCAGGTTACTGTTAGTCATCATCACAATCTCTGGACTGTCTTCCTTAGAAGCGTGCATGTTCCTAGCTCTTTTCCCTACCTGTGGTCCAGTAATGCTTCAGGATAAAGCATAGGGATTACATGAGCACATATAATGTTCCTATTCTGAGATCTTTGGGAAGAGGGGGCAAAGTCATCAGGATGCAGCTTCAGCAGAAGAGGATGTGAAAGCATGGCAACTGCATAGCAAGATGAGGTTTTCATCACAGTTGCACAGTGTGAAGCACTTCATTTGATAAGTTTTCTGTTCTCCTTTCTTAGAAACTTTTGAATCTACAGGCTTTTGGGGTAAAGGTGCTTAGAGAACACTTGTTACTTACAAGTAAATAAAACCCAACTAAACACAACTAAAAGGATTCTTTCTGAATAAAGTAAGATGCTGAAATGCATCTTACAGGAGGGAGACTATCAAGACACAAAATCAATCTGGCTCTGAAAATTTTACTTGGCTACTGGATTTTTAATGTGTTTGTGAGAAGATTTCATGCTTTCCAGTTTGTTCCTACTAAGGGACATTCAAAAGGAACAGTTGCTTGGGAAGCATATCTGTCTCTGATAGTGCAGACAGAGACTATTTGTAAGACCTAAGAGAAACATTTTTGAGGGGAGACAAGTGCCTGAGTGGGAAGGAGTGATGTGTTTGGACTTCCATCTCCTGCGTGGAGTTGCAACAATACCAATATCAGGAATCTTGTAACATTTCCCGAGGAATAATTTGTCCTTCCAAGCAGAACAAAACAGTATTTTGTCTCTGTGTAAGACAGTAAAAAGATCAGAAGAAAAAAGAGCTTTCACAAATACATATGGTGGTGATTTATCTACTTCCCAATAGACAGAGTGAGGAAGAGACGGCACTGACATTTAATGTGGACTGTGGCACCTGCTACAACTGAGCACTCTAAAGCATTTTTTCCCTTGGTTGTCAACACAAGGTGTTTCAGGAGACTTACTTGTTCTTTTCCTTTGTCATTTGCTTAAATAAATTCTCATCAGCTCCTGTGACTCATTTTCACCCAAGAGGCTGGCTATGCTGCCAACAAAAGATTCGAAGACTAACAAACTAGCTGTCTCACTTAGAGAAAATCCCACTGGGAGTTTGTCATTGCTTTGTCTGAGGACACTTGTGTAAATGTCTGATACATGCAGTAATTGAGTTTTACTTTTGGTTGTAGCCAGTTTTCACAAGCAGAACATTTCCTTCCCCCTTGCACACCGGAGTGGTCTGCCGTGCATTCTGGATGGTCCTGCAGGGATTTCAGAGGCGTATATGAGAAGATTAACGTAGTACTCCCCAAAACGCCTTAAGCCCTATGTCATGGCCCAGTAATAAGCTGCAAAGTTAGTCTGGTGCCATGGAGTACTGATGGAGTACTAGTTGGGATGCTGGTCAAAGCCTTTTGTCTCTAATTTTAGTAGGTGAGCTTTTCTGGAAAGTCCACCTGCCTTCTGACTGTTGACCCCCTGCAAACAGCCTGCATCCCTGCTCAACTCTGTTTTCCACTCAGTCACCTTCAGCTTTTGGGTGGCCTGGTTTTTGCAATGGAGAAACAGGAGCTGGGGAAGTATGGAACCTTCTGCTCTGGAAATCTGTCACTGTTCTTTTAAAGCTGTGCACCATTAGTCTGGTGAGCAGTAACATGGGAGAAGAATGACAGCAGTAATTTGGAAGCTGAGAGAAGCAACTGCATGCAGGCATTGGCAAGATGTAAGTATCTTTAACTTGGATAAGGCTACAACAAAGTGAGTTCAGTGAAGCTGAATATTTTGCCAGTGGGAGGAAGAATGATATTGGGAAAATAGATGCTGTGCACACTGTGATTATTATTTACTCTGTGAGGAAGCATGAAAAATACTACACATAACAGATGCAAGAAGATGCCAAAAAGATAATTATTTCCTGATGGATATGTTAAAAAAATTACAGGTAGAAACAGATGAAGAACGGAGAAGCTCTACATCCTTATTTGGATGTAGGCCTTAGAAAATACTGTTGTAAGAGAGCATCATAATGAAATTGAAGAAATTCCTTAGAACATTAAAGAACTAAAAAGCACAGCAGCAAACTATTTTGAGTATGGTCTGTCATAATTTTGGAGATGGACTTAAGTTTTGATTTATATGGACCTAAAGGGACTTAAGTTTTTATTTGTAATGTCAATTCTAAGCCTCCTGGGGTAGTCCCTCATCTTTCAAATATACTTTGAGAACATCCTGTGCTAGTGCAGTGGATAGCCCTTAACTTTTGAACTCAGTCTTCTCCTCAGCCTCTAATACCTTCAGAAATACAGAAAAGTATAGAAAAAACAAAGGTGAAAACATAATGGTAACTGCTACATATATAAAGGATGGTTTACTTTTATTATTTTCAGATAGCTGTGTTTGAGTTACAGCCACTGGATTGATGGATAACAATCAGCTGATTTTCTGACGGATGCTTTAGATTTGTCTCTGCACACTTTTAAAATCAAGTTAATAAATCAAAATTCACATACATGAAAGCATGTCTGACTGTGTCCATCATCTTCCTGGGTTGTCTAGTATTATGCAATGAAGGGACATTATGTCAGGGGAGAAAAGGAGAGGAAAGGGAGGGATTTGAAACAAATGCACAAGGTAAGATGAAAGTGTGCTACAGGAGAGTTTCATAAGCATGAGTTGTAGAGCAGATTTTCTCTATTTGAAAAGTAACCATATAGGGACCAAAACATCCATGCAGGAGAGAAAAGAGAAAAAAACAAGTCCACAAGAGAAGTTTGAGAAAGTCTTAGGTGTGTTTTGATGTTAATGTCATTCTGTAGATCTTTATGTGAACAGCAGTTAGCTCACAACAGTATTCTTGTCTCACCAACTAAAATGGCTGAATAAAATCAGCAGCAACACTACTGTTTTGGCATTGGGAACAAATTTTAACAGCTTTACTAACCAAAAGGACATCCTGAGTATTTTCTGTTCTGAAGTGTAATTTATAGTTTCTTTACTTGCTCTGGTGAGCATGTGGAGAAATGTATTTAGGACACCTACAGTTAAGTAAATATGAACACCCACAAAAAGACATGATATCGCATCTGTAAATATGGATTCATTCTCCTTATTTTGATATTTCTTGTCAAGTGCTGACCTCATCCATTTTAAAGAATACTTGGTGTAATGCTATATCTAACCGAGAATGTGGATACACATAGTTTGTATATTTTCTTAAAGTTGTATTATTGAATGTCCACGTATACTTTTATATTTTTGCTATTTATGGAAAAAGAATAATTTGGACTTGACCTGACTGTTTTCATGCCAGACAGGAACTTTCTGCTAAGTCTCCAGGTCAGAACTTTCAGTTACTGACTTTGGTTAAAGAAAGTTTATGTTCAAGTTGTCTTTCAGACTTGCAAATTTTACTCATGCTTTTGCTTCTTGCCAAGAAGGATTAATTTATTTTATTACAAACTATTTAGAGATACAAAGATTAAGAATATTTATTCTTGTGGTTGGAGTGACACAGCTGAAAGGCACTTTGGGGGAGAACAGGAAAATGTTCTTTGTGGAAATGTGAGGTCAGCATCAGTAATCAAATTTCTGCCCCTCCCTTCCTGCACATCAGAGCAAGTCACATTTGATCTCTATGTATCTCGATTTTTCTATCCATGAAATGAGAGCACTGATACTTCCCAACCTTAGCAGAATTTTAGACAGCGGACTCTGATGTTTTGCTTCCTACATGAACAACACTAAAGTGACTGACACTTGCCTTATCCAATTCTTATTCTAAATACAGCCAGTTGTCAACTGAAAGCTGACAGCCTTCCACCAGATTAGTCTCCAGCCCCATCCATATCCCTTCCCACACAAACCACTGACTGTAGTTGTACAAAGGGGCAACATTCCTGTTCCCACATTGCACACAACTGCATTCATATAGAGAATTAAACATTGTTTTTAATTGAACAGTTCATGTCTCATTATTAGAAATTACTCTGTTAATTATCAGACATTATTGTGTATAATTCTGGTATGATAGTCTTTTGTGATTCTTAATGACGGTTGCTAATGGCAGTTTTCCCACGCTATCCCTGTGTGCCACTTGCAGCTGAGTATCACCTTCTTCTGCTCCAGTTGTTCTCACTTAAGCTGGTGCCCTGGGGTGTGATCCTGCAAACACCTCTATGCCTGACCCAAAGCCCATTTTGGTCAGCAGTTTTCCCGTTCAATTCGATGGGCTTTGAGACAGGGATCAAGGGAGCAGAGCACTGTTGGTTCTATTATTTCCAGGATTCAGTTATTTATTAGATAAAAGTCACATGCACAAGCTGAGGTTAAACCAAGCTAACAAGGAGCAGAGGAAAACAAATTGTTTGATGTCTGGAGGATAAAGAAATTTTATGAAGAATTTTAGTTTGGTTTTTGAGAGGTCTTTTTTGTATAATTTACTCTATGAACGGAGTTTGTTCTAACAAGATTCTAAATAAGGATCTAAACAAGATTCATAATGAAGAAAACATGCTTTGCTTCACAGAGACAGTACGACAAAACAGAGATTCAGTTCCCTTCTGAGTGGTCGTATGGCAAAACCACTTAAAAAAAGGGATCAGGTCATAAAAAAGACATGCAAGTGCCTGGCAGAAAGGGCTGTTGCTGACCCTGTCCGCAGGTTTCTTGTAGGCACAGAGCCATTCATTGTGCTAGTCTGATGTGCAAATGGAAACGTCAGGAAATGCACAGGATTCTTTTATCTTCTTCTGGGGCACAAATAAAGCTTAAGCACTCAGTATTGAAATATATGGCTTTTAATAACAAAAGACCCATTGGCCAAAGCCTATGGCTATGGTATTGTTGAGCAGGTGATTAGCATCCATCTGAGCTACAGATGTTTTCTTTTTATGTTTATTACATATGCAGATGTTGCTATGAGGAAAGGAGTCAGCAATGACTGATGTGGAGCCTGTGGTCACAGATTTTGCAGCATCAGGACGGGCAGGCCGCCGGAACGCCTTACCAGATATTTTGGGCTCTCCTGCTGGTGCTGGGACTTCAGACCTGCCACACAAACTGGCTGAGCTCTCCGTGTCGGAAGGTAATGGCTGCACATTCAAGAAATGGACATTTTGATGCAGTTGTCCTTTGTTTTCTCCTTAAGACTTCTGCCACCATACAGTTTTGATGTCAATACTAATATTTATTTCATCATTTAGGATTAAATTCAGCCTTCCAAAGCAGTTACCACTTGTACCTCCTGATAAGTTAATTCTAACCCAAACTAAATCTGCCGTACCCACCCACGGATTCAGAGATTCAGTGTTCAGCAGCCTGGGGAAAGGTGCTGGGAACTGAATTCCAGTTCCCTTAAGAAAGAGCAAACACAGTTGCATTGCTGGGCAATCTTGGAAAACCACCATTCCAGCTATAAATTAGGGTCTCCTCCTGCATCAAGATAATAACTTGTCACAGGACAGCAAGCTGCGCTGTTAATCCCATTACAGCTATCCTAACTCAGGCATATACATTAAGAGTAGGGTTTACAGTGATTTACTACTGCTAGTAGGCTTTCAGCTTTGCTATCTGAGACCAGTGTCCTCTTTTGGCATGTCCTTTAATTTGATAAGGTGCTCTGTTGATTTAGCACAAGTCTAACCATTATCTGCTTTATATTTGAGTTCTTTTTTACTTTCAGGAGGATTTTCATATTCAGAAAAATCTTGTTTCTAATGCCTATGAAGTGAGAATCATAGGTTGGCACTGGGCATGGGTTACCCCTCCTTTTTTAGCTTCTGATTTGGAAGTAACTTTTTCTCCTCATGACCATCACTATTGCTCCTGTGACAGATGCCACCACAACTGGTGGATCCCACATCCAGGAACAGCAATGGTGTGGGTACAGCACAGCAGGAGGCAAGCCTGTGCTGAGGAGTGGAAGGTCCATGAATCTGAACTGAAGTAGGTTATAGGAGGGATTCCCAGGCTCCAAGGGTGCATATCCTGCTTGTACGTTTCCCAAAGCAGATAGAGGATGCTGAGTTTACAGCATCCTGAAGCACCATAAAGGCTGGGGGGGGGGGATGGTGAGGGAAGAATTCCTTCGATCACAAGTTGTTCTTGCTTTTGTGATTTAATTTATATTAATGTATTTGCGGTTCTGTAATTTAAACTAAACATGGGCCCATCGAAGGACTGCTGGGCAGGTAGAAAGAATATTTCCAGGAAGAGTGAAAAGGGACCAAATGACCACATCCTGGCTTGAACCTGGGAAACAGAGGAAAATAAGAATCTGAATGGGTGCTGGAAGGAGGCATCACTTTTGCAAAAGGAAGGCACAAATATTTATGAAGGAGAGAGAATGGACATAAAGAAAAAAGGGAAAGACAACAAGGTCAGATGCCCTCAGGCTGCAGGGCAGTAGTGAGGGGAACTGGAGGAATCTGGAAGAGCAGGTGGGAAGGATGGTGGGCACTGTGTCAGAGTACACTCAAAGTAAAGCTGGGGGCCCTGCGAGACCAGTTAAAACTCCTGTGTTTTGAGGAGAGATTTTTCCCTAAGAATATGAAAAGTATGTTCCTACAGATTTTTTCCTTCTGGTGTGTGCGACTGGAGCACTGGAATTCCATTCCAAAGTACAGACAGTCACTTAACATTTAATACTTTGGTTTTCAAATATTACGTTTTTTTTAAATTACAGATAGCTCTTCTGCCTAGCATGGTTCATGCACCACGACCAAGGGTCAGGCTCCAGAAGGACAGAACTGTTTCCCTTATCAAAGGGGAGGTGGATGGGAATTTATGATGATGTTAGATGGCCAGTCCAACTCACTGACATACTCATTGCTACATTATGTGTAACTAACCTTTGTATTGTTTAGAGCAGTGAACCTTGAGGGAGATGCACCATGTTAACCCTGTTAAACAAAGCACAAAAGAATACAACAGCTGTAGATAAGTTTCTTGTGCTTGTTTAATTTTGGCCTCTGGAAAGTTTAGTAGTTGGAAAGAATATATTTTTTAAAGCATGCAAAATTTGTCTCTTCAGCCTTTTTTCTTCCTCCCTGGATAAAAATAAACATGAAAGAGTGAAAGTCTTGTTAAAAGAAATGGTACAGCACAGCATAAAATAAGTACTTAGCCCTCCAGACAGAATAATTCTTCTCTGCTGCTGCCCATCCAGTGCATTTAGAAGAAAGGAAACACAGCTACATTAGTTTTAGAAAAATGTACCGATGCTTCCTTACAAATACAAGGACCAGCACTGCCAGGATTTGAAGAACAATTAAGAGCATGGAATTATCCTTTGCTTTTGTCATTGACATATAGCTCTGCCAGAGCGTGCCTGGAAGGAGCAGTTTCTGTTATCAGCAGTTTGCAGTAGTGATAATAGGAAATGAATACAGGATACAGTTAGGTCCACTCTGACTGCTTGGATGCTTTTCAGGGTTGGGAATTCCACAAGTATCGGATGGGAATTACAGCCTCATTGTGTTGTAAGTTAAAATTCTGATGAGGCAGCAAGCAAAACTAGCAGAATTCATCAAAATGGAAAGAAAGTTTGGAAGTTCAAATGCTGTGACAGGGAAACAGTTTGTGAAACATTTGGGGCTCTAACAGGCTCTTTTTGCCTGTTTCTGGCTTTAACAATAAGTTGTTAAAAAATGAAAGCCATTTCCAGCTCAAAACAAAGAAGCTGGATAAATGAGAAAAGTGGAGAAGGTGGAACATGTGGTTATATAATGTATGCTCTATTTTTTTTCTACCCTGAAAGATTCAGTGAAGATTATGGAAAATGGTGAGGAAGACTCTCCATCTTTCTTCAAATTTTGATAATGCTCCTTGGATGATACATTTTCTGTCTTTCTAGAATGCTGTCAGCCGCTGTCATAGTGAAAGGTCAGGAACAGAATTTACTAATACCTTTTGATTGACTTAGAAGAGAAAAGAGAGTTTGCTTTATTCTTTATGAATACACAAGGATCATAGTTTTGTGATAGAAATTTCTGTGTACTCTGCAAGCCGCACCAAATTAGTGTTCTCATGAGATGGACAGGAGGGATTTTGGCACCAGCTGTTTATCTCAGAGCCTGACTCTGAAATGAAGACCATCTGTATGTATCCTGTCTGATCATCCTCTGATGGTGCATAAGTTTTGGAGGGCTGAGACTTTACACCGGTTGTCTGGTGGGAGGCCATACTGGAACCCTGGTAAACCATGTTGATTGGTGTCACTGGTGATCCAGAGGTTGAAGAGGAGTCTGCAAGAAGTTTGAGAGCAAAGAGGCTATACTAGTCTCCCACATATGGTAATCTGTGTTAGGGCACCATTCTGAGAGTAACCTTTATTGTTTGCTGAACTTTTTCTAGGTGACTGTGTATAACTATCTTGATACGCTCAGCAGCTTAGCACCAGTTGCACATCTAAGTGCTACCAACTATGAGATTAGATTTCCTTTAACAAAATGTTTTCCTCTACCGTCTGCAAGACTCCACTAATATTAGACATCCAACCCCACACAGAAATAGCCAATAGAGGAGATTGCTCTGACTCCCTTTCCTCAACAGTGCTGTGCTAGGTAATGCTGAAGGGTGTCAAATAACGCAGTTCTTAATTTACCAGTATAAAACTTCGAAGCCTACAAACCTCTGAGCAGACTTACAACATCAAGTGGTTTCTGCCAAGAGCTTAATTGATGAATTGTGTACAGCAGTATATATTTGCTGTGATATGTAAAGACCAAGATCATAGAATCATAGAATGGTTTGG